ATTGAAGCAGAAAGATTCTAGAGCTTTCACGTGAAGTCGGCTCTCTGGGCTTCTATTAGTTCTGTGAACAAGCATCTAGGTTGATTAATTAATACGTTTATAGCAACAGCCCATCACCGAAGAGAAAGAGTTGGGTATATTCGACAATTTTTGGCAAATGAAAACAGTAACACTTTGCATTTCCTATCCCCCTTGTCTCCAGAGAAATTGTGTTAGTGATCAACAGAATATTTACTTTATGAAAAACATATACTTTGAAAAGTTAGCATTTCACACAGGAGGACAAGAGAGTTGTCTTCTCCTTTCTGATTATCAAACAGATCCAATGGATTGCTGCTGGCCATTGTTGTTTAGCTGTGGCTAATCTACCGTCCGATGAAGGATGATCCTAAGCGGAGCGGATTCCCAGAGATTTGGGATAATCTCCCTATGTGCTTTTAGGTTTTCAACCACGCAAAATACTCTTTAAAACACTATGTGTTTATGAAGATAACATTTGAAGAAAAGTAAATATAAAGCTACTTGAAGCTCACCATCTTTTTATGGGCACGGTGATCGAGCAAAGGGAAACGCCATAGGTAGGCCTCGAGCGACTGCTTGCCATGACAACGCACGCTGACCATCAACAACGGCGCTTAGCGATTTAACGAGCTGCTCGGTTTTCAGTTTTTAAAAGGCTTGACCTTGACTGGTGTGTTTTTTGGAAGGAACCAGACGATTTGTTCTTTCAGCCTCCGAAACATGTGAAAATTACTTATAGGTAGCACAGGTCTAAGGTCAAACTAAATTACAGTAATCCAAATGCAAACACATTTGTTCTCTTAGGGAATTTGGCCGTTGTGCTTGTCTTCGCTTCAACTATTCTAGTCAGTGAACGCACTCCACGTACTTACATTCATGAGTCTAATCTCACCATCCCTCTTCTTACTTTCCTGCCCTTTTTCTTCCTTTTATGGATCTATCAAAACGACCTGGTCATGTCAAATTGTGAATAAATAAATAAATAAGAATGGATATCTGGGATGACTCAGGGAAATATGTCCCCGACGCCCCAGGTCCTTCCTGGTTCTTTTTTGTGCTGGGCGTATTTCTGTGATGACAATGAGCGAGGAACAGCTGCACGAACCTTTCTGTTGCTGACCCCTAAATTACAGTAACCCCTGTGCTTGCAATCCATTTGCGCCTCCGATCGAGGCAAATACGACCCCCTTTTTCACCCAGTGTTCTAGTGGCTGGAGGTCACTGCCTGAGATGGGTTCGGATGTACCGTAATCATCCAAAAGAAGAGACGAGCAACTTGGCTTACCGTACTCGTACAAACTTATTCAAAGTCCCATTGAGAGCTTCATTTTGGGAAGGTTCACGTCGGGGTAGACTGGTGTAATGTTATTGACGATAAGAAAAATTTCAGCTATTACCAATTGTTGTATTGTATTTGAACGTTCAATCCTCTCACTGCTGAGATAATAAGAATAGACCATTAGACGTTGATCAATCTCGTTTTCGGCTTGCGTCACGTATTGCAATCCATTCAGAATAATAGTGCATCTTAAATGCAACTTGAACCATGCAATGACTTGCGGGGTCAGCCGATATACAATGAGTGTTGTTAGCCTGCCAGCCAAGTCTAGTACCCGATTCATAGAGCCAGGGGATGGAAGGCTTGGTTGCCGCGGACGAGCCAGTTTTGGTCTCTGGAAAAAGCGCGTGGTAAGCAAGCAACGCCATTGCTGATGGACGTTTATAGTCGGTCGGTCCAATTCGTAATCGAGCCCTTATAATTATTTTTTTTTTTTTTTTTTTTTTTTTTGTTTTTTAGCCGATGTCAGACTTTGCGAATCGCGCGATTCGCTAGCGTCTGCGGTCGCGTCGCGGCCAGTGAATCACTCAATTGGCTGGTACCGCAACGCGACCGCGGACGCTAGCGAATCGCGCGATTCGCAAAGTCTGACATCGGCCTTAGGAACGTCGACGTGACGGACGATTTGAGCGATCGATACGTACCTAATGCTGTGCGATCGTTATAATCAGACGACCTACTATGAAGAGCGCCCATATTGGGTACGAATTCTGTTTGCATGTACTTAGACGGTATGGTTCACCAAGACAGGAAGCGAATTTTCCGCTTTGCGCTTCGCGAAACTTTTTTGCTGCGGATTTGCAGGTCTCCCAGCGAAAAAAAGCTTCACAGATAAGACTTTACTTACATTATAAGACGTGTTTGAGTGCAATCCAAGATAAGGAAATAGCCATCTGATGAGTATGAATTAACAGCCTTTATGCCGAGTACCTGGTAAAAAAAATACTGCTCATTGTTTCCTTGAAACGTGCGCGCCCAACACTCGAGACAAATTCAGCCGTCGTGGTACGGTTGTCACCATAGGTCTGCATTTACACAGTCCTCCCGCGGACGCCGAGAGTTCAATGCAAAGTTCGAGAGAATATTAGCGTAGCATGTTTTAGTATATTTTAGTAGTAGATTGTCAGTGTTATGTCAAGCTTTTCATGATGCGATGAAAGAGCGTGGCTCACTTGTGCAGAATTCCGTGGTTTTGTCCAGCTTTTCTTTGAATTTGTCGGCAAAAACAGAGATGCGAGAATGGTCAGGTGTTAATGTCGGTTGAATAGCTCGTTCGTTGATTAAGATGAGTTTTAGTCTCATCCAGTAAGGAGGCATGTGGTGCAAGAGTACGTCGCCTAAAGTAGATCAGCTCCTCGCAGCGGAGAGAAGCTCCGGAGTGAGTGAAGGCGCATTCATAGTCGGTCGTCTGAGCGCAGCGATCGCACAGTGTTGGATACGTATCGATCGTTCAATCGTCGGTCACGTTTGACGATCGATACGCATCCAATGCTGTGCGATCGTTACGATAGTACGACCGACTGTGAGTGGACCTTGAAAGCAAAAACGAAGCGGTTCTGGCGTTCATAAGATTTCCTCCCCGTGCCAAAATTGGAATTTCTGTAAGCGCAACAACTGTCGCACCACACGTTTCTTCCGTTAGAATGAGACCTGAATTTTGTATTATAGGAAATGTTGGTTCCATTGAATCGCATTCCAAAGGTGCTATCGTGGCGCCTATTTTCGACAGCTCAGTCGGCGGTTGTTCTCGCTCCCTCGTGTGCCCTCATGAACTCATTGTCGCTTTTCAGAATTGCTCCTGTTGACAAATGCGGTACGTCTTATCGTTAGTCAAAGCCATTTGGTTTTGGTGCTAAATAGTCGGGGGGGGACGACGGAGAGCGAGCAGTCTCAAATCAAATCAAGTCAAATCTGGCCAGGGGAGTGTCAGCCCATAAGGGGTGGGGTGGGCAGTCGAGGGCAGGGAGGTCAGTCTAGGGGGTGGGGGTGGGGCAGTCACTTGACATGCGTGAAAAGCTGGAATGTTCGAGTTTACACTGTCTCGCTCGAGAGAGCCCAGGTGAGCTGACTGCGCCGCCGCGTGCCCCCCCCCCCCCACTAAGTTAGCACCGGTCTCTTTATTTTTTATTATTTATTATTGCACAAATGGGACAATGTTATATTGAACCTTTCAAGCATTTTCGGTACTTTCAGTGCTGTATCGAATAAGAAATGAGTGTTGTACTCATTATATTGACATGTCACTGACGACAGTCGTCATGCGTGCTTTTCGGCTTTTTTATGTTTATCTTTTAACGGTCTTTGCCCTTTCATTAGTTCCAATACTGATGACTATGGTATTATTTTTTCGAACCTGTCAAAGCATATGGAGTGTTTTGCACGAAAAAAAGGCAGGTATATAAAGAAAAAGGAGCATCCCTTGCGCTAAAGTCGCAACCGCGTCGTCAGTGTGTTAGAGTTGTGATTCCCTTGCATAAAAAAAGCTTCATTGAACCTCTGGAATTAGGCGTTTTGAAGGAACCTGCTTTGTGTAACAGCGGACACTGGTTGTCTTGAACTCTGTGCAGCTTCTCAATTTCGATAAACTGGAGGTTCTTGGTTCGTTACTAATCATAAACGGACCCCATTGTAAGTTGGGAATAGTCAAGGTAACCACTTTTACTGGAGTTACTTCTCGTCAAGTTTTTGTGGAGTAATTGCTACGAATAATCTGAAAAAAAAATGAGAATATAATAAAAGGAGACTTATTGACGCTTGAACTATGATTCTGTTGTTTTAACAGATGATATAAGGAAGGAGAAAAATCTTCTTTTTTAGCGGTGCGCTGGATTAGAGTTCGCGGTAACGGCCATAATGAAAACGATCGTAACGAAAACGAGAAGCACACTCAGCAAAGCGAGCGGACCGAAGAGCCGTCGAACTCAGAGGAGAAGCCAGAAAAACCCAAGGTGGACCCAGCTTTGCGTAAGAATTTATAACTCGCTATAGGTTATCTGAATGAATTTTGTCAATTGTTACACCTGATTTTTATGTTGTAATCCTGTCTTCTCGATCTTCTAATGGTTGGACAAAAAATATGAGTTGGAGACGTTGATGAATATTTCGTCTGACCCTTCTCTATTCGAAGCGATGGCTATGTTAGTGCTTTTTATGTTTATGAGAAACGGATTGGTTCCTGATGCCCCATTCACGCTCAACGGAACGAACATCACCGAATGCTCCAGCTACGTGTACCTAGGTCGGGAAATCAATATGATGAACGATCTAGCTCCAGAGCTGAGCAGGAGGAAACGAGCGGCTTGGGGAGCGTACAAGAACATCGAGGGAGTAGTGAAGAAGACGAAGAACATCCGGCTCCGTGCCCACCTCTTCGATTCCGCTGTCCTTCCTGCCCTAACCTACGCCTCAGAGACTTGGACTCTGCGCAGGCAGGACGAGCATGCGGTCAGCGTTATCCAACGCGCTGTCGAGAGGGGACTGCTAGGAGTACACGCAAGTGCAGAGGGGAATCCGGAGTTCCGAACTACGCCAACGATCGAAGATCAGGGACGCTGCCGTTTTCGCCAAGGAATCGAAGATAAGGTGGGCCGGACACGTCATGCGATTTTGCGATGACCGTTGGACCAGAGCGTTACCGACTGGATCCCTCGGGACGTCAAACGAACACCTGGACGACCGCCGGCCCGATGGTCAGACTTCTTCACGAAAGCTCTGAACGAAAGGAATGATGGACTTCGTGTCCCTCGAGCGAGGAGGATCCACTGGACCACTCTTGCACGCGACAGGGACGAATGGAGACGTTGCTGGCGCCCGCTCGAGCAAGTTCGATGATCAACGGGACGATAGGTGTTTATAATCTGTGGGGGAGTCTTTGGCTCGTGTTTGCGCCTAAAGAAACTGGGGGATTTCACAAAGGATGAAACAGAAATGAAACGAATTGCCACAGAAGCCACAGCGCTAATTCGGAAAGCGGCAAAAGCCTCTGAACTATATGGTAGAGGTTCGCTTCATCATTCCACCACATATGTGTTTTTTCGTCGTCGGAAATTGAACTGGCGGTTCTATCCTTTCACTTAACTTCTTTATAAAAGAAGAGTATGATTACTCGGGTGGAATCGGATGTTAAGCTCAATAAAATTGATGATTTTAGTTACTATTTTGAGAATGCTTTCTACGTTTCGTGTTATGTATCAAACGAGGTTGCTAAATGGTATATTTATTGTTTGGCCTTACGTTTCGACCTTCTCGTTTTCTTTTAATCCGGAGATATTGCCTTATGCGAATCACTAGCTTAAGCAGTGTTTTTGTAGCGAAGTTATAGAGCGTGGATCTGAAGAAGACGAGAAGCTCGGATTTTAATGGCAAACAATAAAGAGGGTTCCATGTAGCAGCATCGTTTGCACCCACCACAAAACGGTTCGACACAAAATGTCGAGGTTTCAACGACTGACGATGTAAAATCTTGGGCACTATTGTACTACTACAATCCCAGTAGGGTGAAAAGGTCAATTTTTTGCTGAAACTTCTCCGATGGGGGTTGTCGAGGGTCCTGATCACGAATATGAGGTCCATTTTGGCGCTGGCGCCAATTTGGCGCCAGTGGCGCCACGACTGATTCTCACCAAATTCGCTGTAAACTTCTGTATAGGGGTTATTTGGGGTCCTGATTACGAATATGACATTCGTTTTTGTTGTTAGCGCTATTCGGCGCCTATTTCCTGCTCGTCTGCGCCCTCGCACTAATTAGATCGCAATCAGGACTAAGCCTTTGGATAGTGGAGGGCTCCAAAGTGAGTAAGCCACTCACTTGTGATCTCACACACTTCAACTTTTGCCACACGGTGCTTGGTTTACCCAACTACACCGCACACTCCCCTTCCCTAGGCTTGGTCGTAGGCACGTTAAGTGAGAGAGCTCATAAAAGCAGAAATTTGTGCTAAAACAGCACAAGCGACAAAAACCAATGTCATATTCGTAATCAGGGCCTCAAATTACCACTATATACAAGTTTACATTGAATTTTGTGAGATTGAGTCAGGCGCCAGCGCCAAAAATAGATCTAATATTCGTGATCAAGACCTTCGAAACCTTGAGGAAGTTTCAGCGAAAAATTCTTTTGACCCATTTCACCCCTACTGGGGTTGTAATAGCGCAATAGTGCCAAATCTTGTTTTCTTGCTTATGTTTCTACTGTCTGATCAAGGTTGATTTTAGTACGTAAACTACGGATCTATGTGCTCGTTGTCGGCGGGCTGTCTTTCGTTATGTCTTTCATCGCTCTTTCGCAGATGGCTACTGGTAAAGCCGAAGCAGAAGGAATACAAACCGAACACTTGACAAGGTGATTGTGTGTTTTCTCCACGTGTTATTTTACCCTCTTTCTTTCTATTCTTCATGAATTCCAGTTCTTTGGACATTGGTCGACCCTAGCATATTTTAGGCAAGGTATTGATATGGGTTCATTCCTAGCAAAGTATTTAAGAGCCGGAGAGGTGAGCACCAAGTTTTGATGTTTGTTTAGTTACTCATTGAGGATAATGAACATACTGAAACAGCAACATAAATTCAGTTTTATATAGTCACCGAAATTTGCAGGTGAGAAGGATAATATTTTGCCCTGATTACTCTCGGGCTGTAGCTTTTCTACATACTGGAGCTGTCATTGACGGCAAAAAGGTATGTAATTGTATTTCATGTATGGCTTCTATTCTTTTACTTTTATATTCGCACATATTCTGGTTATCACCTGAATTATTGAAAATTGAACGAAATGGTCTTCACGTCTGTCTTTCTAGAAAAATGAGCCCTTACTCTGACGCATTTCTTATCAGATTTTGAGCAAAAGTGAAATGTAAGGAGTAGCTTGTTCTGCAAGTAACAGGCTTGTGACTTTTTTCACATTCAAAGGTGTGGCTACGGACGAGAAGCATGTCGAGGAACAAAGAGTCGTGCTGATGAGACTCTCACAGAGCATAGTGTGTTAAGCGATCACGGCTCTATGCTCTCATATGCGGACGCGCCTGTAGGTAAAAAAGTCAGCCGATGTGTTATACTGAGAAGCAGGCCGAGCGCCTTTTACTTCCAGAAATCGAAGAGAAAGAAGTGTTTGCGTTTATCAGTCGGAACATTGTGTTGCTATCACATTAGCACTTGTATGCAACGTGCATGCACTTGAGAGCTTTCTTGGAGAACATCTTGAACTCAAATTGTCGAGATTTTCGTTGGTGAAATTATTATTATGAGGAATAGTGTATTTGATAGTTTCCTGTTTTTTTTTTAATATTTGCTCTTGTATTTTGGTTTTACTCAAGCTAATGAATTAAAAGAAATGGCTTACCACAATTAGATATTCCTCTAAAGGGCAGGTAAAAATTAGTTGCAGGTTCACGAACCGGTTGTGGTAGTTGCTTACCCACACAGCGCCCAACAATTTTGGGCCGATGTACGAAAAGAAGAAGAAGATATGGGAATTTCGATATCAGATGGCGTGCCACTGGATATGTATAAAGGCATGACTACGTTCAGGTAACAAACACGTTTATGAATTAGAGTTTTACCTACTATTGCCTGACTGAGTTTTGTGGTGACACAGGCTGTTCTTTTTTCTATATTTTAGGCATCTGGGTATGAACAGATGTTTCTCAATATTTAGGATGCAACTCAGTTACTGCGCAAAGGAAAAAATCTGCAGTAAAGTGTTATGAGTT